GTTTACACGGAGGACGAGTGGCAGAAGGAGTGGAACGAACTGTTGAAGCTGGCGTCAAGTGAACCAAGAATACACTACAACAACACAACCGGGTAATACAACACACAACAACTACACACAACAACACACAACTACACTACAACAACACAACCGGGTAATACAACACACAACAACTACACACAACAACACAACACTACACTACACAACAACCGGGTAATACAACACACAACAACACACAACTACACTACAACACACAACAACGGGTAACAACACACAACTACACACACTACAACACACACAACACACGGGTAATACAACACACAACAACACACTACACTACAACAACACAAGCGGGTAATACAACACACAACAACTACACACAACAACACACAACTACACTACAACAACACAACCGGGTAATACAAACACAACAACAACACACAACTACACTACAACAACACAAACCGGGTAATACAACACACAACAACACACAACAACAACACACTACAACTACAACAACAAACAACGGGTAATACAACACACAACAACTACACACAACTACACTACAACAACACAACCGGGTAATACAACACACAACAACACACAACTACACTACAACAACACAACCGGGTAATACAACACACAACAACTACACACAACAACACACAACTACACTACAACAACACAACCGGGTAATACAACACACAACAACACACAACTACACTACAACAACACAACCGGGTAATACAACACACAACAACTACACACAACTACACTACAACAACACAACCGGGTAATACAACACACAACAACTACACACACTACACTACAACAACACAACCGGGTAATACAACACACAACAACTACACACAACAACACAACTACACTACAACCACACAACCGGGTAATACAACACACAACAACACACAACTACACTACAACAACACAACCGGGTAATACAACACACAACAACACACAACTACACTACAACAACACAACCGGGTAATACAACACACAACAACACACAACTACACTACAACAACACAACCGGGTAATACAACACACAACAACACACACACTAACTACAACAACACAACCGGGTAATACACACACACCAACACACACACTACACTACAACAACACAACCGGGTAATACAACACACAACAACACACAACTACACTACAACAACACACAAACCGGGTAATACAACACACAACAACACACACATACACACAACAACACAACTACACTACAACAACACGGGTAACAACAACACACAACACACAACACAACAACAACACACGGGTAACAAACACAACAACATACAACACACACACAACAACACCGGTAATACAACACACAACAACACACAACTACACTACAACAACACAACCGGGTAATACAACACACAACAACACACAACTACACTACAACAACACAACCGGGTAATACAACACACAACAACACACAACTACACTACAACAACACAACCGGGTAATACAACACACAACAACACACAACTACACTACAACAACACAACCGGGTAATACAACACACAACTACACACAACTACACTACAACAACACAACCGGGTAATACAACACACAACAACACACACAACTACACTACAACAACACAACCGGGTAATACAACACACAACAACTACACTAACACAACAACACAACCGGGTAATACAACACACAACAACACACAACTACACTACAACAACACAACCGGGTAATACAACACACACAACACACAACTACACTACAACAACACAACCGGGTAATACAACACACAACAACACACACAACTACACTACAACAACACAACCGGGTAATACAACAACACACAACTACACTACAACAACACAACCGGGTAATACAACACACAACAACTACACTACAACAACACAACCGGGTAATACAACACACAACAATACAACAACTACACTACACACACAACAATACAAACACACACAACACAACTACACAACAACACAAGGGTAATACAACACACACAACAACTACACTACAACAACAACACAACACACTACACAACACAACGGTATACAACACACAAACAACTACACACAACTACACTAAACAACACAACCGGGTAATACAACACACAACAAACACAACACTACTACAACACAACACAACCGGGTAATACAACACACAACAACACACAACTACACTACAACAACACAACCGGGTAATACAACACACAACAACACACAACTACACTACAACACACACAACCGGGTAATACAACACACAACAACACACACACACGGGTAATACAACAACAACAACACACAACTACACTACAACAACACAACCGGGTAATACAACACACAACAACACACAACTACACTACAACAACACAACCGGGTAATACAACACACAACAACACACAACTACACTACAACAACACAACCGGGTAATACAACACACAACAACTACACTACAACAACACAAACAACGGGTACACAAC